TCTGGGATTCTGTGACACAGCCCACACCAGGCAGAACCAGGCAGCAGTGGTCCTGCAGGCAGGACTGGGATCAGCACCATCATGGATGGGCAGGGGACCAGCCCTGGGAAAAGAGCAGGGACCCTGGGGTGTTGGTGTCACGCAGACCTCTGGTTTCTCTGGAGAATGACCCCAGACCCCCTCTACCTTCATGAGAAGTCCAGAGCAGTGTGGGGAGGTCCCCACAGAGGAACCTTGGGCTGCGTGGGACCCTCACCCACCTCCCATCTCCCTCCCCAGGTCTACCGTGGGCACACCAGCCTGGTGCGTTGCCTCAGCATCTCTCCCAGTGGGCAGTGGCTGGTGTCAGGTAAGGATTCACTCCCCAAACCCAGACATCCCAGTCACACTGAGCACTGCTGGCCTGGCCCCAGTACTGGAGCTGGTCCCAGTGTCACCCCATGCCAGCACAGGGCTCAGGGCAGGCAGACTGTCACCCTGTGTGTTGTGAGAGTTCCCACAAGCAGTCGTGTACCAGGGAACCTGCCAACCCCTCCACCGGGTGGGAGACACCCAGGCAGGAGGCTGGGAGAGCATCCCTGGAAGTCCCAAGCCAGCAGCGTGTGTCCCCCAAGCCTGTGGCATGACGTGTCACCTCCAGAAAGCTCTGTGGGTATTTTTTTTCCAGCTGCTCTTGGGACCCCACCCAGGAGTCAGCATCCCTCCTGCTCAGCAGTGGAGAAAGTGAGGCTGGAGGAGTGAACGCGGAGCCGCGCGCGGCCGGCCGGAGGCTGGAGATGGAGAGCAGATGGCAGTTTTAACAGCCCACAAAGGCACATGTGCTTTTTATAGCCTTGGAGTTTTCCAGGCTGCCAACTCCCGGTGGCCTCGGTGTCGGTCGGTTGCACAACGTGGAATTCCTGGCTCTGAGTTGGGAAAGTGGTTGAGATCAGGCGTTAAAAATAACCCAACTTTGTGGGGACACGAGCACGCCGCCGGTTACCTGCTCCCGCTCTGCCTACCCACGGAAAAGCCAGTTCGTGGAGCTGCCTGCTCATGGAACTACCTTCCTGCATCTCCCAGCTAGACAGGGCCGTGCCGTGCCGTGCCAAACCCAGCCAGGCACGCTGCCAGCACGGCAGCTGCGCCGGGGGAGCCGGGTGAATCAGGAGGGGGATCACAGGCAGAGATGCCGGTGCTGGAGGGAGTCGGGGGGTTTGTTCTCTCAGCAGCAGCCCCTGGTCACGTCTCACCTTCGAGGTGCTGGAGCTGCTGTGGTGTGGAGAAGCTGGTGGGGAATCACAGGGCACTGCCACCTCCCTGTCACTGCTCCTCCTCAAGGGCTGGGAATGGGGACAGCTGTGGGGAACGGGGCTGATATCTCCACTGCCTTGAGGATGTGTCCTGGAGCTGCTGAGCCGAGCTGAGCCGAGCCGTGGCAGCTCCTGGCACAGCATCCCTGGAGGAAACCATCCAGCCCTGACCTTGGCCCTGGCCCTGGCCCTGGCCCTGGCCCACCCCATCCTGTCCCACAGGCTCTGACGACTGCACGGTGCGGTTCTGGGAGGTGTGCACAGCTCGTTGTATGAAGACCTTGCCTGTGGGTGGTGTGGTGAAGAGCATCGCTTGGAATCCCAACCCCACCATCTGCTTGGTGGCTATCTGCGTGTGAGTGTCCCAACCTTCTCCATCCTCCAGCCAGGTATTCCCTGAGCTGGAGCCATTGCTGGATTTCTTCTCTCAAAGCCTGTCCAGCCACCAAGTAGAACTTCTAAACTCATCACACCTCCCAGCAGTGAGGATGGTCACGCTGTGGTGTGCAAAGATACCTCTGTCACTGTGTTCCCACTTCATTTGGTGTCCCTCATTCTTCTGTGGAGGAACCAGTCAGTCCCCACCATCCTCCTTGGGGCACTTGGGTTATGCCAGAGCTCCCCCCCTACCTTCTTGTCTCTTTGAAGGTCCCAACTGCTCACAGCATCTCACGCCTCCTTCCAGGTGGCCCTGACCCTGTGCAGGGCCATCCTGTGGTGGCAAAGGGCTTGCAGAGGGGTTTCCTCTCCTCAGTGGTGCCCTAACACCCATCCTCTGGTCCCACACTGCAGGGAGCAGTCAGTGCTGCTGGTGAACCCCTGCCTTGGGGACAAGCTGCTCTATGGGGCCACTGACCAGCTGCTTGAGTCCTACGTGGCACCAGAGGAGGAGAGGGTCCAACCCGTGCAGTGGGTGACAGCCACCATGGAAGAGCACAGCAAAGGTGTCCGACTGGTCATCCAGCACAGCAAGGTAGGGATGGGGAGGTCCCACAGGAGCCAGGCTGGCCAGGGGATGTTGGCTGCTCCCTGGGGTGGTGGGTGACTCCTTGAGGTAGGGATGGGGAGGTCCCACAGGAGCCAGGCTGGCCAGGAGATGTTGGCTGCTCCCTGGGGTGGTGGGTGACTCCTTGAGGTAGGGATGGGGAGGTCCCACAGGAGCCAGGCTGGCCAGGAGATGTTGGCTGCTCCCTGGGGTGGTGGGTGACTCCTTGAGGTAGGGATGGGGAGGTCCCACAGGAGCCAGGCTGGCCAGGAGATGTTGGCTGCTCCCTGGGGTGGTGGGTGACTCCTTGAGGTAGGGATGGGGAGGTCCCACAGGAGCCAGGCTGGCCAGGAGATGTTGGCTGCTCCCTGGGGTGGTGGGTGACTCCTTGAGGTAGGGATGGGGAGGTCCCACAGGAGCCAGGCTGGCCAGGAGATGTGACTCTTTGAAGAGGCTTGGAGCAGTCCTGCTGATGGGTCTGACCCCTGGTTGTCCCTTTCCCCGCTCTCAACAGGCCGTGAAGCAGGTGACCTGGCATGGCAAAGGTGACTACTTCTCCAGTGTCGTGTCTGACAACAGCAACATGCAAGTGTTGATTCACCAAACCAGCAAGCGCTGGAGCCAGAATCCTTTCCGTAAGAGCAAAGGCTTGGTGCAGTGTGTGCTCTTCCACCCCATCAGACCCTATTTCTTCGTGGCCACCCAACGCTACGTCCGTGTCTACAACCTCCTCAAGCAGGAGCTCACCAAAAAACTGATGACAAACTGCAAGTGGGTGTCCAGCATGGCCATTCACCCTGGAGGTAGGTGGCTTGTGTGTTCCCCAAGGAACTGCCAGGTCTTGTAAGTTGGGATGGAGTTTCCTGCTCAGCTGGGGTGCTGGCAGGACACTGAGGGGGTTCACTGGTGACCCCAGAAATACCCTGTTCCTTCTCACAGGTGACAACATCATCTGTGGCAGCTATGACAGCAAGCTGGCCTGGTTCGACCTGGACCTCTCCAC